GTTCACAAGTGTTGGACTCAGTGGGGGACACAGCAGCAGCGCTCACAGGCTTACAAGTGTTGGAATCAGTTGCGTAAGTGTTACTATAATGGACCACAGCAACAGTGGCCACTGGCTTACCGGTGTTTTACTCAGTGGTCTGGGTGGAGTGTGCTTAGCAGGTGTGGGTGGGTACGGGTGAAATGGGGAATGGGAGGTAATCAAGTATCATCCAAGGAAGAGGAAGGATAGAGAGCCTTTCATCGACGTCAAAGTATCCCCCGTGGATGGCGCCATGTTAGGTGGTGGCACCATGACAGGTGGGGTGTTAGGTGGTGGCACCATGACAGGTGGGGTGTTAGGTGGTGGCACCATGACAGGTGTGGTGTTAGGTGGTGGCACAATGACAGGTGTGGTGTTAGGTTGTGGCACCATGACAGGTGGGGTGTTAGGTGGTGGCACCATGACAGGTGGGGTGTTAGGTGGTGGTACCATGACAGGTGTGGTGTTAGATGGTGGCACCATGACAGGTGTGGTGTTAGGTGGTGGCACCATGACAGGTGTGGTGTTAGGTGGTGGCACCATGACAGGTGTGGTGTTAGGTGGTGGCACCAGGACAGGTGTGGTGTTAGGTGGTGGCACCATGACAAGTGTGGTGTTAGGTGGTGGCGCCATGACAGGTGTGGTATTAGATGGTGGCACCATGACAGGTGTGGTGTTAGGCGGTGGCACCATGACAGGTGTGGTGTTAGGTGGTGGCACCATGACAGATGTGGTATTAGATGGTGGCACCATGACAGGTTTGGTGTTAGGTGGTGGCACACTATGACAGGTGTGGTGTTACGGGGTGGCACCATGACAGGTGTGGTGTTAGGTGGTGGCACCATAACTGGTGTTGTGTCAGGGGTATGGGATCTTGAGAGGTGTGGTGTTACGGGGTGGCACCATGACAGGTGTGGTATTGGGGTGGTACCATGACACGTGTGATGTTGGCGTGGTACCATGACAGCTGTGATATAAGGGGCGTGGTACCATGACAGCTGTGGTATAAGGGGCGTGGTACTATGACAGGTGTGGTGTTAGGGACATTGTACTATGACTGGTGTAGTGGCAAGGACGTCGATTGTGGCACTATGGCAGGTATGGTGATAGGGACGTAGTACCATGACAAATGTAGTGGTATGGGTGCAGAGTGTGACACTATGACTGGTGTGGTGGTGGTGCTCGGTATGGCACCATGACAGGTGTGGTGGTGCTGGGTGTGGCACCATGACAGGTGTGGTGGTGCTGGGTGTGGCACCATGACAGGTGTGGTGGTGCTGGGTGTGGCACCATGACAGGTGTGGTGGTGCTGGGTGTGGCACCATGACAGGTGTGGTGGTGCTGGGTGTGACACCATGACAGGTGTGGTGGTGCTGGGTGTGGCACCATGACAGGTGTGGTGGTGCTGGGTGTGGCACCATGACAGGTGTGGTAATGGTGGTGAGGCGTGCAGGGTGTGGCACTAAGACCAAACCTTCACAGAACCACAGTTCTCACTGTTAAACTCCGGAGGCCCACATTAGCTTCTTAGACCTGTTAAAAACCTCTGAAACCACGAAGTTCACTATATATACCTGGATTATTATTATTATTATTATAATCAAGGGGAAGCGCTAAACCCGTAGGATTATACAGCGCCTGGGGGGGGGAATGTGGAAGGCATTCAGGCTTAATTCGGGGAACTGGAGCACAGATCCAATTCCCTAAATCAAGAGCCCCTCACCAACATCAAGGAACCTTCCCTGAGGGGATTTATACCTGGAGTATACCTGGAGGAGGATTGCCTTAATAAGATCCATTTTAAAACACACTATTATTAACCTAGAAAAAACAAACAAATAAAACTGGCATGAATCAAAAACATTTTCTTTATCTGCTATGAAAAATACGCGTTCGATACAGAAGACATTTTAAATTTAATCAGGCCATATTATTTCTCATGGCACAAGACAGAATAAATCTACAGTTCATTGGACCATCCTTACAAAATCCAGTATAGTAGCTAATACAAACACTGACTCCTGGCCAGTATCTGAAGACCTTCCACTGTTAAGTAATCTTTCCCACTGTAGCAACTCTGGTGGGGTGACTTTAGTGAAGCTAAAGCATGACTAACACACTTTTACCACTCAGTAAAGCTCAAATTTATACATCACAAACAGTAATGGTGAGCCATCTTTACCAGCAAGCCAAGGGATAGAGGATGTAAAACCCGCTCTCCCATAGACACGAAACAAAAGAGCATCACAGTGTTAAAATAAACTAATTTAATATTAGTCTCCTTTTTTCTCCTCTCTTTTAAATTATATTCATGATATCTATTATTTACTTAATAGTTATATACTAAAATGTTACCTTCAAACACTGTTTCAAATTATCCACAAAATATATAAACACCTTGATCATTATATTTATTCTGGACTGTCTGTACATGATGTCTAAACTCTTTAACTTGAAATGGATCAAATCCCATGAAAATATAAGTTAAACACACCTTGACACTCCACAGCAATTCAAATTATAACAAAACATGTGTTACAAAATAATAATTTTATGCTTTAAAAACGCCAAGCAATACAGAATAGCCAGAGCACTGCTGGTATTCACACAATAGCCAGAACACTGCTGGTATTCACACAATAGCCAGAACTATGCTGGTATCCACACAATAGCCAGAACTCTGCTGGTATGTACACAATAGCCAAAACACTGCAGGTATCCACTTAACAGTAGGGGTATATAGCGTGGCACCATGACAGGGGAATGTGTGGGCAGCGTGTAGTGCATAACACTGTAACGAGATCCTGCAACGTGCGTCATTCTGACATAAAATGTGTCGTCAACGATATACAAACAGCGCTTGTTGTGTGCCAGGCTGACATAGTTAGTGTGTTAGGCACCGAGTGTCTGCACCAGACTCATTAAGGCCGCAATTCGTCTGTATTCTACCAGTCATTAAAACCAGCATCAAATGATGCTATCTTCAATGGTTAAAGGGGTGGACTGGCAAGCCATTGGAGGGCCTCAGTCACATGTAAATAAGATACTCAATGTCGGTTGCCATTTTATAGTGAATACTATTCACGAATTTTGAATGGATGGAGTTCCAGTTAGATGAAACATTTTCACAAGTAAATAACAACCCACATCGTGTGATTTATTTACATTCTGTTGGTGATCTCTCTCCAGTTGTATTACCGTCTCGGTCAGATGAGCAAAAGCTCCAGTGGCGGGTTATCATGTGACTAGGACCCGGGTGAAAAGGCATTTGCCCTCTTTCCTGAATCTTACCTATTCTCACCTAATAATAACACACAAGATCACTTTAGTGATCACCTAACAATAACACACAAGATCACTTTAGTGATCTTGTGTGTTATTGTTAGGTGATCACCTAATAATACCACACAATAACACACAAGATCACTTTAGTGATCTTGTGTGTTATTGTTAGGTGATAAAACATTCGTCTCTATTCCTATCTAACATTCGTCTTTACTCCTATCTAACATTCCTCTCTACTGCTAACACTCTCAGACATACTGCATGTCCAAGCCCCTTGCGCACAAAACCTCCTCCCTCCACCCTTTACTAGGACGACCCCCTACCCCACCTATCTTCCACTACAGATTTAGACACCCTCCAAGTCATCCTATTTTGCTCCATCTCTCTAAATGACCAAACCACCTCAAGCTACCTCAGCTCTCTGAATAATGCTTTTAGTAACTCTGCACCTCCTAATTTACACACTACGAATTCTCTGCATAACATTTACGCCACACATTGCCGTTAGACATGACATCTCCACTGTAATAGTAGTAGTGATGTGTGAACCTGATAAAGTTTATTGCGGTCAAACTGGTAAAATTCTTGAACTAAGATTAAAACAACATAAGTATAGCATTAGAAGTGGACAAGACTCTCATGTTCTGTTTATTCTTGTGAGACATTTTAACCATCCAATTGATTTTCAAAAGGCTAAGAAAGTTGTATCAGGCAAAGTCCATGGTCGACAGGAATATCATAGAATCATGTCTCAGAAAAAGTAGTTTTGAAAATAATATGAATATTGCTTTTGGCTTAGATAAATTGGATTCATTTACAATTAATAAAATTTGAGAAGAATTTAAGATACATTTGACAAGTACAAAATCTTAATGCTTGGGTAGAGTATCAGTTGTGTTTCACAGGGTCGGTTGTTGTGACGTGACTGTAAGGTGTAGTCTTGCTCTTACATGCCTTCCCGTTTATGTTTTATTTATATAGTTCCTTGATAATGTGAGAAGTCACGATAGCTCTGGAATTTCACTATTTTTTTCACAGTGGTTGTTCTGCACTGGTTTTCATGAGAACAGAGTTATGGAAAAAGTTCAACCTTCACAATTATATATACATATATATATATATATATATATATATATATATATATATATATATATATATATATATATATATATATATATATATATATATATATATATATATATATTTATATTATATATATATATATATATATAATATATATATATATATATATATATATATATATATATATTTATATATATATATATATATATATATATTATATATATATATATATATATATATATATATATATATATATATATATATATATATATATATATATATATATATATATAATATATATATATATGTAATCTTTCGACCTATATGTACTGAGATATATGCGCCGAATGGTTCATATTCTGAAAGATATACACCTCGGTGTATATAATAAATACTGAGAGGTATATGCATTTATCTTCATTATCTCGGAGTATATTTACTAAAACACTTTGAAATAAAGGATTGCTCTGCAGAGCTCGTCATTATATACTCTTGTCGGCCTGTAGATCAAAGCTTATGATGTGCCTTGCCCGGAGGTCTCCCTGCCTCGCCTGGTGCTTCAGAACACATGCTTGAGGCTTCGCCCAAGATACTCTTGACATTCCTGGTCTCTCCTGCTGAGAGTGAGCACTTCACTACACACACCGTCGCGGAGCACGGCTGCAGCCCTCTTATGAAGAAACAATAATACCCTCCGCATAGACGGTAAGAAATACACTTTTGTTGGTGATGCTTACGAGGCTTAGAATAATTGTATACATGTCATTTTAAGTTGTACGTATTTTACTGTATCTACACTACTCTTTTCGGGTTACATTATGTAATTTACATATATGTTACTATGTACGAGTTAGTTTAATGTTTTTTATGCACCCCATACCCATCCTGTGGGCGGTAGTCAAAAGATTACAGTGGTACGTAATGATCCAGGGAGTGGGCAGCGGAGTTTTGATAGCTGAACAAGTTACAGCGGTAATGAACTATTTCCATGTTTATATCTGGTCACAGTCGTAATGAGTTACTTGCGCATTTATGTGAAACTGCACCTAAAATAAACTTAACCTTGCTAAACTCTCGGAGTTTAAACGTTAATAGGTATGAGTCTTTTTAGTATAATACACTGATATGTGTGTATCTGTGTATCTCGCGTACATAAAGCTTACTGTTTTAGGAATTAAAGTATTCTTGATGTTAATGGGTATGTGACTTGTGGGCTTAATTAATTAATGACTCTGAGTGAAGTCGATATTACTTTAAAATCAACAAACATCCCAGAGATCTCTGTTTACCCCTGGCCGGGTTTGTGATGAGTGTGTGTGTAAGGTTGTGGCAGCAAGACTTGACTCAGTACTGTGGGAGAACATCACAAGCACGGCACCACACGCACGCCACCACACGCACGCCATATATGCATCTCTCTCTCGCTCCGCCACACAGGTTAGTGAGGATTACTTAGGTTAGCAGGATTACTTAGGCTGGTGGGGGTTACTTACTGATGGGTGGATTAAACTAAAAAAGTTCACTTTAGCGAGGTTAGGTTAGGCTGTTAGTTTTGGTGAAAAGACCTTGTATACCAGGTTAATAAACTAGGTTAATATACCAGGTTGATGCACCAGGCTAATACACCAGGCTGATGCACCAGGCTGATGCACCAGGCTGATGCACCAGGCTGATGCACCAGGCTGATGCACCAGGCTGATGCACCAGGCTGATGCACCAGGCTGATGCACCAGGCTGATGCACCAGGTTGATGCACCAGGCTGATGCACCAGGCTGATGCACCAGGCTAATACACCAGGCTGATGCACCAGGCTAATACACCGGGTTGATGCACCAGGCTGCTGCACCAGGCTAATACACCAGGCTGATGCACCAGGCTAATACACCGAGCTGATGCACCAGGCTGCTGCACCAGGCTAATACACCAGGCTTATGCACCAGGCTAATACCAGGTTGATACACCAGGCTAATACACCAGGCTGATGCACCAGGCTGCTGCACCAGGCTAATACACCAGGCTTATGCACCAGGCTAATACCAGGTTGATGCACCAGGCTGATGCACCAGGCTGATGCACCAGGCTGATGCACCAAGCTGATGCACCAGGCTGATACACTGGGCTGATGCACCAGGCTGACACACCAGGCTGATACACCAGGCTAATACACCAGGCTGATGTACCAGGCTAATACACCTGTTATTGCTGTTCTTGCTGCTGAACAGCGGTTTAGTGCCGATGAAGGTAGCGTAGGTAGCAATGATACTGCCGTGGACTAGTTTGGCTTTAATTGGATAGGAGTGAGTACACAACGGGCAGTGTGAGGGAGTGACCGCAAGCCAGTCCGTGGAGGGGAAGCACTTCTGTCTATCAAGTTGGTCGGCCTAGGAGTGAGAGCGAATGGGCTCAGCCTCCCACTGACCTGGGTGAGCCTACAGAGGGCAGCACCTAAATGCCGCGAAATATGAACTAGTCAGAGCAGACGGCTAGGCTGTGTGTTCTGACAGTACAGGATGTCTACACACCAGGCTGATGTACCAGGCTAATACACCAGGCTGATGTACCAGGCTAATACACCAGGCTGATGTACCAGGCTGATGCACCAGGCTGATGCACCAGGCTGATGCACCAGGCTAATACACCGGGCTGATGCACCAGGCTAATACACCAAGCTAAAACACCAGGCTGATGCACCAGGCTAATACACCAGGCTAATACACCAGGCTAATACACCGGGCTGATACACCAGGCTAATACACCGGGCTGATACACCAGGCTAATACACCGGGTTGATGCACCAGGCTAATACACCGGGCTGATGCACCAGGCTAATACACCGGGCTGATGCACCAGGCTAATACACCAGGCTGATGCACCAGGCTGATGCACCAGGCTAAAACACCAGGCTGATGCACCAGGCTAATACACCAGGCTGATGCACCATGTGATGTAGTTCAGCTGGGCTTGTGAGGTCTCTGGGGGGACCTAATTTAACTAATTATATGGTCACCTTGCCTTGGCAAATGTCTGCCAGAGCCACGCCTTTTCGGCTTAACACTGAGGTCTTTTGTTCTGGACGGCGTCAGACCTCGGCGTCAGGTCGTACACGTGGTTGTGGAGGGTGCTTGGACCACCATAAAAGCCCAAGGAAGAGCATGATCAAGAGATTCCTGCGGAGCTTTGGCCTGGGTGCAGAGCTCCTGAGCAGAGACTTCGAGCGGAGCTGCGGCTGGGGTGCAGGGCTCGGGAGAAGGCTGCTGAAGTCTCTGGAGGAGACTGTTGGAGGCATTGGGCAGAGTACTGGCTTGGCGCAGTACTCGTGCTGTGTAGGTCTTGGGACCTGTGGCTTAGTTCCTGTGATGAACTGCCCTCTGAACTATATTGTAAGTTATATTCATTGTCGTCAAGTTGATTGTATTCCCTGTCTCACTGCTTATGTGCACCACCCCATTTATATAAACCCCAATGATGTACTCCTGTTCCCAAATATATTATTGTACAAGGACTTAATAATAAACTGTGTTTGAGTAGAATAGTAATATTCACTGTCCCCGTTACTTTCTCCATTTATTTACGTTTAGTTAAAGTAGTGAGAGCGTGAGTAGTGTGGAGTGGATTAGATTTTTAGATTTTGCCACCGAAGTGGCTAGTTTATTGTGCACCCCATATCCATCCTGTGGACGGTAGCGCGAGAGCATATGGATACACAAAAGGCCTAGGAACTAGCCCCCAAAGGGGTAACAGGAATACATATGGATTTATATCTACATATCTATAGTTCACTTATCTGTTACAAGCAAATTTAGGAAATTTGCTTAGTATATCTGGTATCTTATTTTCATTACTAAGATATCTTGACATGTCACATAGGTTATTATACTGTCTGTCTCTGTATTCCTCAATAAGTGGACAATTAAGCACATAGTGTTCAAGAGAGTGACCATATGCCTGATCACATAATTTACATTTAGTTTGATCATCATCTGTGTGTCTCCCAAACTGCCAGAAGTACTTGTAACCAAGCCTAAGCCTGGCCACTACAACATCAGTCAGTCTGTTCACATTGCAAGTTGCTCCATAAACATACTTATCTACGTTCATGTTATCATAGTGGGTTATAGATCTACTCAGGCTTCTAACTGCATTCCTATAACAATCATTTTCATTATTTACTTCTCTCCTAATATTATTCCTAATGCTAGACACAGTTATACCAAAGTTATATACTGTGGAGTGGTGGGTAGAGTAATGAGAGGTGAAATTGTAGTCACCAGTGACCTCACATTACCTACCTACCTACCTCCGCACTCATCCCTCCTTCTGCCTCGCCTGTTCCCTACCTACTGACTCCATCCTCTTACCCCCGTATTCCCCTAATCATTACCCCCCCCTACATGACAACCAGGCTGATACATCGGGCTGATGCACCAGGCTAATACACCAGGCTGATGCACCAGGCTAATACACTGGGCTGATGCACAAGGCTAATACACCAGGCTGATGCACAAGGCTAATACACCAGGCTGATACACCAGGCTGATAAACCAGGCTGATACACCAGGCTGATACACCAGGCTGATGCACCAGGTTAATACACCAAGCTGATGCATCAGGTTAATACCAGGCTGATGCACCAGGCTAATACACCAGGCTAATACACCAGGCTGATGCACCAGGCTAATACACCAGGCTGATGCACCAGGCTAATACACCAGGCTGATGCACCAGGCTAATACACCAGGCTAATACACCAGGCTGATGCACCAGGCTAATGCACCAAGCTGATGTACCAGGCTAATACACCAGGCTGATGTACCAGGCTAATACACCAGGCTGATGCACCAGGCTAATACACCAGGCTGATGCACCAGGCTAATTCACCAGGCTGATGCACCAGGCTAATACACCAGGCTAATACACCAAACTAATGCACCAGGCTGATGCACCAGGCTAATACACCAAACTAATGCACCAGGCTGATGCACCAGGGTAATACACCAAACTAATGCACCAGGCTAATGCACCAGGCTGATGCACCAGGCTGATGCACCAGGCTAATACACCAGGCTGATGCACCAGGCTAATACACCAGGTTGATGCACCAGGCTAATACACCAGTCTGATGCACCAGGCTAATACACCAGGCTGATGCACCAGGCTAATACACCAGGCTGATGCACCAGGCTAATACACCAGGCTGATGCACCAGGCTAATGCACCAGGCTGATGCACCAGGCTAATACACCAGGCTGATGCACCAGGCTAATACACCAGGTTGATACACCAGGCTAATACACCAGGCTAATACACCAGGCTGATGCACCAGGCTAATACACCAGGCTGATGCACCAGGCTAATACTCCAGGCTGATGCACCAGGCTAATACACCAGGCTGATGCATCAGGCTAATACAGCAGGCTGATGCACCAGGCTAATACATCAGGCTGATGCACCAGGCTAATATACCAGGCTGATGCACCAGGCTAATATACCAGGTTGATGCACCAGGCTAATACACCAGGCTGATGCACCAGGCTAATACACCAGGCTAATACACCAGGCTGATACACCAGGCTGATTCACCAGGCTTATACACCAAGCTAATGCTCCAGTCTAATATACCAGGCTGATGCACTAGGCTAATGCACCAGGCTGATGCACCAGGCTGATGCACCAGGCTGATGCACCAGGCTGATGCACCAGGCTG